TGTTATAATGTATTGATACTACTAATATATTGAAGGTTTTGATTGATAATTATAATGTTACATTTTATACCATAACAACATATACAGAAAAGGTATTACTAGAAAAATGACAGAATATGCAGTTAAAAATATAAATCTCATTATCATGTATCTGATATAATTTATAATGAAATTAAATAATTTTGAAATTTTTATAAATAAAATGATTTTTAAATTCATAATTCTTATTGTTAAATATAAAATATGAATATACTTTCTTGAATTCTGATTGGCTAAAATTGTATTATGTGTTACTTACATAAACCAAGAAAATCAAGAAATTTTTTTTTCATAAATAGTTTCTCCCAAATGTATATATTCAAATGTTATAATATGAAAGAAATCTGATCATTGGATTAAATTTTATTTAAGATTTTCTAAGTTCCTATTATAGAGGTTCTGCACTGTATATAACTAATATAAAAACTAATAAATAAATATAAAAATAAATAATTGTAATATAATTTAAGAAAATTTCCTGTGCCACAATATAACAATATATTATAATAATGATAAAATAAATAAAATAAATGTACTATGTTTAAAGTATTATAAAAATTAAAAAAAGAGGTTATAAAATGTTATTGTAACGAATCCACTAATTCGTTAATTTATAAATGAGAAAATAAATAACAACAACTATTTATTACACAGAAATAATATCAACAAATATTATTCCAACAAAATATAGGTTATAATTAAATTAATTGACAAGAACTTGTTTGCCTTTTTATTTCCTTATGCCTTTATATAATAATAAAAATACATAGTTATAAATATAAATAAATATTATTACATATCTTAGGTTCATAGAACCTTTCTGGAATAGGCAACATAATGAATATAATATAAATATAAAAAGAATAAAAGATACATGTGAATTAATTAATAAGAATATAGATAGAAATAATAGATATAATTCACATGTACAACAATTGATTAAAATAATGATTATCACATTTCTATAACATGCTTTTAGCCTGATTTTCCATATGAAATCATTAATAATATAAATAAAAGAAAATAGAAAAAGAAAAGAAAAAGAAAAATAAAATTAGAAATAAGTCTACATAAAACTACTGTAATAAATTATGCCAACAGACGAGAACTGCTACAGTTATAATACTTTTACTAAATTGCTAATCCTTCTTTCTAATACTTTCACATTTCTTATTTTTTTAAAATTATTCTAAATCTATGTGGATATTAAACATATTCAATTGAAAGAACTTGTTCATATAATTTATATCTAAACAACCTTGTCAATTTCAAATAGTATATATTATATATATTTTTAAAATTGATTTTTGAGTTTTGAAATATTTTCTTTTTAAAAATTTTGATATATCTATTCTATATATGAAAATAAAAAAATATCCAATTTAATGTATTCTCAATTAAGAATTTATCTGGGTAATTAAAAAATTTCAGATTTTAAGTAAAATAATTTTGTCTTCTATGAAAATTATTTTGACTTTCATTTCTAAAATATTTCAACTTACTATGATAGACTATTTTGTGTATAAGTATAGTTTACATATCTATAGTTAAATTAATTAAATTAACAAATATTATATTATTTTCAATATATTTAATTATTAAAGATAATGTATTATGAATTATTTGTCTTACTAATTTTTTTACTAAGAATTGTAAAAGTAAGATTAGTGTATTGATAAATTGATAAAATGAGTTCTGTTTTTGATTCTTTGCATTTTATTTCCAAAGATATGTCTTCCAACTTAATATCAAGTAGATTCTCTTTTTTCAGGATTCCTTTTAATATAATAGATATTGATTAATTTTGGATATGATTTATCCAATTAATAATTGACATAATTTGAATTATTGTAATCCATTGTGGAATTTTTAATAATGAGATTATTTATTGTACTTTAAATTATACCTGCTATCTGAATTCAAATTTCAAATGCTAAAATTCCAGATCTCAAATCTCAAATTTCAAATTTCAAATCCTTGACCAATTAACACAAAAACAACCTTGTAATTATCTCTAACAAGAAAAACAATGGTTCAGGTTGAAAATAATGGTCAGTGCAATTATATCATATTCTACTAGTGAGATTAAATTTTGTATTTCAATAGAAATGACACTTTGTACAAATCTCAAATCTCATATTATAATTAGTATTTCTTGTTAAAATCCAAAATCTCAAATTATTTGAGATTTGGATAACACATATACTTTGAATCTTAAATGCAAAAAATAATTAATAAAAAATCAATTAATTTGAAAAAATATTTTTTATCTAATAAAAATAATTACCATTTTTTTGATTCTTTTTTATATCTTCAACAATTTGATGTTTGCTATTTAAGTGTAAAATTAGATTTCCAGTTGAATCATCAGTTGAAAGCTTTAAACACCAAACTATTTATGACCAATATTCCATTACAAAATTCTTTTATCATTTGTAAATCTCTGTTCATTGGTATTTCTAATGATTTCACTTATTTGATAAAATGACTTCATTTTTTTTATAATCCATGATATATATATCCATTTTAGTTTAAATTGTTTTCCATATATTTTTTTATAACATTTAACAACTATTTTATTGTTTGATGAAGTTACTTCTTTATATCAATTCTATATTCAACTTTGAGATTTTTTTTTATTAGATATTTTACCTTTTTGTTTTATTACTAAACTTTACTAGTATCTAAATTTATTTCATCAAATTAGAATTTTGTCTTGTTCATTTTTTAGAATTTTTTCATAAAGATTTATATCTTGTGTATTTTTTTATTCCTTGTTAAATATTGTCTTCCCACAAATTTTCAAGTTCAGATCATCAAATTTCATTATTATCTTAATTAATAAATAATCACATAATGCTAATAAAGATGTTGAAAACATGGAATTATATTGGAAGCATTATCTGTTGTTACAACTAAAAGCTATAATTAAATAATTAAAAAAAAACATAATTATTATTCTTTAAAATAAATTAAAAAAATACTTAAAGAAAATACCTTTGCACTAATATCAAAATCTTTCAAAATCCATGTAAAAAATTAAATGAGTTAATAAATAACCTAAATAACACATGTTGAATAAATAAAATCAACAAAATTTTTATCTAAAATCTTCCTGTCTATTTGCATATCATTCACAAATCTCTCTGTCTATTTGCATCAAAAATTTCGCCTGTATTTTTATTCAACCAGTATAAAATAATAAATAAATTATAAATAAATTAATTAATAAATTATAAATGAATTAATAAATGAATTATAAATAAATTAATAAATAAATTAATAAATAAATTAATAAATTAAGAATTACTTTTTGCATAATTTTGTTCTTGTACCCTTTACTGATCAAAATTCTATAAATATTACACTTATCAGATACCAGATGGATGTAATTTCAACCAGTACTTTTCTTACAATTATTTATCTCCTTCTTGCCTATTTCATATCCATTTTTTTATTTTTATTAATTTTGACTGTCACCTATTCCTGCTAATTTCATCTCTCACATTCTTCACTGATTTTGATCTTCTTCACCTTAAATATTGACTCACCTTCTCTTCTTTTAATATATATTACACTTTCTCATAACTTATTTTTCTTTTATAGTATTCTTTTCCAGTTGAATAGTCAATTTTGTCTTTTTTTATATCATTTTACTAATTTCATTTTCGTTTCTCTGCTGATTTTAACCTTCACTTAAATTTTGACTCATTTTCCTTTTTTATAATATATATTGCTGATTTTGTCTTTTTTTTTATATTGCTTAACTGCTTTGCTAATTTTGTCAATTTTACCTTTTTTCCTTTACTGGTTTCAACTTTATTCTCCTTTCTTTTGACTCCTCTCATCTTCACCTCTTTCCAATATATTTTCACTCCCTTCATTTATTCCCTTCTATTTCATCACATCTCTCTGAATCTCCAATTTTACTTCTTTCTTGTCAAATTATTGATTTTATTATTTTTCTTCTTCCTCTTGAATATTGTCTTTTCTTTTTTCTTTCATCCAATTTCTTTTCATTTTCTTCCTCTTTTGAGGTTTCATTAGGTATTTTTTATTGTAATGTGGAATTTCAAAAACTTGTAATTTTTTATAAAAATATTTGTTCAGAAGTTCAAGATTATGATGTTGATCAATATTTCTAAATAAATCTTCAGAATAATTATGGAAATTTATTATACTGTATAATTACTATACCTAGTAAACAAATATTTATTGTTTGTTTTCCAATTTTAAAAACGGACCAATGATTATGTAGTACTGATATTTGCGAATATTTTTTAACATTATTAAAAAAAGCGAACGAAGTAGTCATATTTTTATAGTTAGGAAATTGATCAGTGAAATTTAATGATTATCGCTTGTGTACCATCTATATTTTGACGATTCAATAACTTGATATTGAAAAAGCATCTCGGTAATAACTGATTTTAAGAATATAATACTCAAAGAACAATAACTCAAAACGTATGTTTAAAGATAAAGTCATATGTAATATTGAAAGTTAGCCGACAGAACTTCGTTAACGTCAAGTTACACAAGAAATTTAATTAAGGTCATATTTTAATATGAATGGTTGAACGAAATAGGTTTTAATATTTTTTTTTTCATTCTGTGATATAAATGGAATAAATTTATCACTTCCCAAAACCTGAAAATTTCAATCAACTAATTATTAAAAAAAAAGAAAATGACAGAAATTTCGGAAATTCCTTCTTTACTAGTAAAAAGTGGGGGAAAAACTATCAACCTTACTTTTAAAAATGACATTCTTTCAATTGGTTAGAATAAATATTTATAATTTTTATTATTATTTTTTTTACATATTATCAATTATATATTAATTATATATTTATCATATTTTATTTGTCACACATATTTATTATATATTATATGTAAAATAATAATAAAAAATACTAATAGCTGAAAACAATATTCCATTAAGAAACATTCTCGAAGTTAAATTGAAAAATTCATCTCCAAATAAATTTAATAATTCTATATCAGTAGAAATTAAAGTTCTCGTTCCTGGTAAAAAATTAAGGTTAACAAATTTTATTTTTGAAGTAATTACCGCTGAACAAGCTGCTTCATGGGTAGAATTGGTTAGAGATGCTGCGTATAAAAGTAAAGCAGTTCCCTTATTATTATTAACCTGTTTTTTGTTTCTATTCTTGAAAATTAATAATAACTACAATAATATTTAATTTCTCTTTTAGATTCAAAACCAAATAAACATTTAAAATTAGTAATAAATCCTGTTTCTGGAAAGGGTGGAGCAGAGAAGATTTTTAATAAGGATGTTAAACCAATTTTTGACGCAGCCAGCTGTACATATGATATAACACGTACGTTACGTTTTACTTACATTATCTAAATCATAGCATCATTTATCACGCGTGATATTTACATCAACATTAATAATTATTGTTTTTAACAATTATTATTAGGTACTGAACGTGTTAATCAAGCGAATGAATTAATGAGAACTCTTGATTTAAAGAATTATGATGCAATCATTTGTGTTGGTGGTGATGGTACCATGTATGAAGTTATGAATGGAATTTTATCACGCGAAGATGCTGTGGATGTAACAATTCCCTTGGGTACAATCCCCACTGGTAATTTTATTTTATTATTATTATTATTATTATTATTTGTTTCGTCAGAATTTTTATTTATTTATTTATTATTATTTATTAATATTGTTAATCATTTTTTAGGTTCAGGAAATGCATTAAATATTAGTTTACATGGTGATAGTCATGGTTCTGATGTAGCTCAATCAACACTTACTATAATCAAAGGTATAATCAAAATAATTTTTGATTAAATATTTAATTTAAATGTTCATTAAATCTTTAATCCAATACAAAATTATTATTATAACTTATTAGGTGTTCCAATGAAAATCGACATATGTTCTGTAACGCAAGGTGATAAAAGATTCTTTTCTTTTCTGACTCAAAGTTATGGAATAGTTGCAGATTGTGATCTGGGAACTGAAAATATGAGGTAATTGTACATTTTTTACTTACTGCCGGGAGAATATATTTATATACTGATATTTTATATAAATGTTTGTTTATCTTATTAGATGGATGGGTGATATCCGTTTTATAATTGGAACAGTTCAAGGTATTCTAGCAGGCCGTCGATATGGTTGCGAAGTAGCAGTAAAATTTGTTGAAAAAGATAAAGAATTAATTAAAGATTCTTATAGAAAAGGATACTCAGCAACTACAACCACAACAACAAAGATAATTGATAATAATAATGATCAAGACAACACCAATAATAATAAATCAATTATGAACAACTTATATGGCACAATAAATGACCCACTTCCAGAAGATTGGGAAATTTTAAATGATGATCTTTATTTGTTTTATTGTGGCAAAACACCTTGGGTTAGCAAAGAATTTATAATATTTCCTTGTGCTTTACCTTCCGATGGTCTTATGGATTTAGTAATTATAAAAAGGGATGGAATATCAAAAACAAAATTTATAAATTTATTAAAATGTGCTAGTACTGGAGCACATATTAATTTTAATGAGGTAAGTGTAAAAAAATGTTACGCGTATCATTTGTTTCGAGTATCATTTATTTATCTGTCATAATTAATAATTAATTATGATACATTTATTATTCAGGTTGAATATTATAAAATTAAAGCTTTCCGTTTGACTCCCAAGAATCGTCAAGATGGATATATTGGTATTGATGGGGAAAGAGTTCCATTTGAACCTTTTCAAGTAGAAGTTTTACCAAGATTAATAACTTTACTTAGTGTTGATGGAAATTATTGTCATGTTAATATTTGAATTGTATCATAACTCTCTTGAATTTATATATCATTTTATCATTATGGTTTATATATTTTTTATTTTTCTCCTAATTCATTATAAAGCTATAGTCTAGAATGTAATTTGTTAAAACTGGTTGTGTAATTTTATATGGATCCAAATTAGAAACTCGTTATCATTTAAACTTTATCAAATCAAAATTGATAAAGGAATAAATTATTTTTGTTTCGTTAATATGAATTTTATGTTAATCAGTGTACGTATAAATGATTACTCCAAATACGTTCTTAGGTCGAATAATAATTATTTATTCGTTCGCGATATTAACAAATATTAACAAATGAATTTTTGAATTCCGCAAGATTCAAAATTTATACTTAAGTCACATCTGCCAAATATCATTAGTCACCTTTAGGTATGTAGTAATTCGGAAAAATGCTAAGCTTTAAGTACTTTCTTATTCATTTATTTTAAAAAGAAGCTAATTTATGGATAGAAATATTCATAAAACTATTAGTCAATAAGAACATTTATAAAAACCTTCGAAAGTGAAGTATCATTAACAGAATCTGAAAAGAAAATTTTAATTTATTTAAGAATTCAATTCAAAAAAAAAAAAAACAATTATTCAACTACTGTCCAAATCAACTCAGTATTGTGAATATTGATGAATTAATTCAAGAATTCTAACGAAAAGACTAATATATTATTGAATGTATTGATTATAATCAATTTGAAAATACTACTATATACATTGGTTATAATCAATCACCAAAAAGTTTTGACAGACAAGCAATTCTTGTAATAATAAAGGAGCATGGTTACAAGAGGTATGACATTTCATTTTTTTAATCCGTTACTATTTTATAATTTCATATGCTACGCTACCAAACTTTGAATAATATTTCGATTGTTAAATGCTTTGGATTAACTAAACATCCAATTAGTAATGATCATATACTTGTTCTCAATAATTTTGATTGTGGCTTAAGCCATTATTTAGCAGATAATTATTGTTTTATAAATTGGCCTCAAAAATGTAAACATTATAAGAAATAAATCTAATTTACAGCATATATACGATTCAGAGATTCACATTCAATCAACATTTTATAACAGTATTACTCCTAAAGTCTTGTACCAACAACAATATAATATACTTATAGCTTGGTAATATTAACGTGAGAAGTTGCAACAGGAGATGTGCCTTTTGCTGGAATTAATCATGATATCATATCAACTTGTCTTTAGGAAGTTTTCTCTTGTAAAAATTTGGTTATTCCATACATTATTTCAGAATTTGAATTCAAAAGTACTAAATTGAACCATGACAGTCTGAAGTTTTAATCCAAGAATTAACAGAATCCAGTAAGTAATAATGATACTAATAAAATATCAGAATGAAAAAGAAGATCAAGAAATAATGAAAATAATTGTCTTTTCACTTTTAAAATTTAAGACAGAAATGATGAATATTATGATTGGCTAGATGATCAAAATCTGATTTGCTTGATTTGCGTCATACTTTGACCCCACATCATATACAGTGACCCTCTATAAATGCACCCCGGGAATCGGCATTAGGGTGCATTTATAGAGGGAAATTTTATAAGTGATGGGAATTTATGAGGGGTGCACCTTATAGAGGGTGCATTTATAGAGGTTCACTGTACACGTAGTGTGCCTGGTGTTGAGGAACTTGTTTGAAGACTACTCCCAGAGGTAAATTTTTTAAAATTTAAATTTATTAATAAAACATACGATAAATGACATCACAAAAATTAAAGGTTTACACGTGATTATAGTTTACGCGTAAACAATAATTTATCAAAACGCCTTGCCATTACAAATATAACTGATAAGGTCTAATACAGTGGTCCCAGCATAATCTTTAATTTTTATAAAAAAAAAATGGTAATCAGAGGTATCTAAATGGAGAGTCATGTACACAGGGCAGGGATTCCAATGGTTTGAGATATAATTTCAGTAGATTCGTTTCCTAGGACCATCTTTTTTAAATAAGTTTTAGATATTTTATTATATTCAAAGTTTCTCGCAATGCCCTTTTCGTGTGTTATTACTTCATACTTATAGTGGAAGGCAAGAAAAATAAAATAAAAATGCTTTATTCAAGTTTTTTTTGTTCTAAAACTAACAATAATAGAATTCTTGATTACACTTAATTAGGCGTAGCACATATATAACTTTATTATTAATATTTACAAGCGATGTATTTGTTCTTTAATAAACAATAAAAAATTGCAAGTAAATAAAATAACAGTTATTGCCAACAAAAAAAAAACTAATAAATGATAATAAGAAAATGGAATTCTGGCTTAAGTGTGTGTTAGAAGCGACAGAAATTGTTAGGCAAACGAAAATCGTTATTCTATTGTTTATTTTTTTGAAAATAATCTTAGTAAGACAAAAATTAATTATATATTATATTAAAAGGACAATTTTAATTTATGCTTCAGGTATTAGTTTAATTAAAACAAATAATTTATTATCTAGCTAGAAAGCGAATGTTGATTTTCTCGTTAAATTAAATGGAATCCTTGATTTAATTAATCAATAAATTAAGAAAGCTAGTTATAAAATCAATATGTTGATTACATCACCAAGTAATTCATTAATATAATTTGTTTAATTCGATCGAAATTTCTTGAAAGGAAACAAAAAAAAAGATAAATATAATAATATAATTCAAAAATTCACATGCAAATTTGTATTCAGTGATCTTTATTATCTCTTTTATAACTGTCTTTATTGTCTTTTTTATTATCTTTATTATTATTATCTTTATTGTTACTATCTTTATTATTAATATTATCTTTATTATTATTATCTTTACTATTATGATGATTATTATTATATTGTGAACTCAAATAAGATTCCAGTTCTTCAAGAGTGATGGGTAAATTAGGAGGTAATCGAAGTGCATATAATCTCATAATATGACGTGAAACATTTTCAATATCTTCTAATTCAGCATCAAATAATTCCCACCAAGGTGGTGATGTAGGTAATTTAACTTGAGCTATACGAGCAGCCAACCAAATTACCGCACAAGCGATAGTTGGTGGTTGATAACATACATATATATTTGTACGTAATCTATTTAGAATGTATATTACATATATTAGTTTAAATATATAGATATAAAGTAAAGATATAAAGTATAAATAAATGAAACATACGCGTCATTTAAATATCCCCAAGCTTTTTGTGGAATAGTATCATGTTCAGTTAATTCCAGAACTCTTAAATAATTAACCATCAATCCATATGGTAATTGTACATGAACATTAAATCCAAGTTTTTTGAGAATTTGTAATTCTGCTATTACCAATGCATCTTTCATTTCGTAAAAAGTCTAAAAAATATAAAATGGATATATTAATATATTGCATATATCACGAGTTAATTTTTTAAAAAAAAGAGATATTAAATAATAAAAACACACTATAAAACAGAAAATTATAGAATCACTAACCGATCCAAAATATTCTAACGGTTCTATAGGTAATTTGCGATATTGTCTAATTAAATAATTATAAACGTTAATCAAATCACGTATTTTACAAGGCGATTCTTGAACTTTTGATGCGAGAAATAAAGCTCCCATTCCTATATCCTGAATTAATCCAATAATGTAATAATAATAATGTATTTACTTTTGAATTCTCAATTGAAAATAAAAAGATAACTAAATATTTATTTTAATTATTACCCTAATTGAAACTTTTCTTAAAGAGGCACTATAAAAAAAACGTTGAAATAGAACTTGAGCTGTTGCCATGGCTACCTGAGGTCTTTTTTTTCATTTATCCATTAATATAAATTTTCGATACATTAATTCACTAAAAGTATGTACATTAAATATATTTTATCAAATTTTCTTAAAATATTTACAATCTTAAAAGAATTCCTGCAGATTGTATAAATTCGCAACCAAATTTTCGTAAGTTTTCTTCGAGATCTTCGGATATTCCATCTTTCCTTGAAGGAGTAACTTCAAGTTGTTCATAAGTTAAAATTGCGTTTTGAAGTGATAAATTTGACATAAGATATACGTATAGAATATACAGTAGTTGAGAAATAGAAAACCTAATTGGCTACCCAGTTCAGATGATCAACGACTATATAAATCGACACGCTTTCTAGATTAGATCAATTCATTCGGTTTCAAGATGCCATTAAAACCTACCTGCCCTATTTGTAATTCCCGTAAATGGAATTTGGATAGTTTAGGAGGTCAAGTATGTGAGAATGGACATCAACGAAGGGTATTTATCATCATTTGTTCACAATAAATATAATATATATATATAATAAACATAAATTAATAATTATTATATTCAAAAAAAAGGGATATCAAATACTAGAGAGCGAAGAATTTTCAAAAGGCAGGAAAAAGCGTAACATTCAACCAAAGAAAGCTAAAGCGAATATTAAAACACAAAGACCACTGTACGTAACCCATAAAGAAACACAAAAATTATTTATGGTGTCAACTCAATTTGTTTTGAGAAAGTTAATACACATTTTAATACATGAAATGGGATTTCCACCACAATTTGAAGTGAGCATTGTGAATTCATTATATATTTTATCTGCTTAGAAAAATTAAATATTTTTTGAAATTAATTATTTAATTAGCAAGTAATTCAACATATATGGATATTATATGTGAATAAATTTCATACAAGAGAGATGATTGCAGAACATTCTAGAAAAGATCACAATGCATCAAAGATTGATGTTGATGATGATGGTGATGATGATGATGGTGATGATAATGATGATGATGAAAATATTGAAAAGCTATTTGATTTCCCGGAAGATTCTTATGATGATGATGATGATGATGATGACAATGATAATGATGATGATGAAAAAAAAAAAAAGCGGGCACCAGTTGAAAGTGACAACGAATTTGGGGATGCTACAACAAAAGAAAAATCTATCGAAGAAAAATTTCGTATGTCGAATATTTTGTATGAGTTTAAACTTTCTTACTTGTTATGCATTTTACATCTCGGGTGTATTTGGATGAGATTTCCTGTATTGATGAATGATATTCATCGGTAAGTGAATACTGTAATTTTTATTATAATTATTATAGTTTAAATTAAATATTTATTCATTAATATATTCACCAGTTGGGCAAATTCTGGTCGATTACCATTTAAAGAGGTTCACAGAGAAATTCCCGAAAGTATAAAAGCAATTTTAAGAGGAAAATTTTTATCTAAATTGTTTCATGTCAAAGTATGGTTAAATTTCTATCAATTAAAGAAATTAAAAAAAATTTTTTTATAATTTAATAATTTTTTTTTTCATTATAATTTATTTTTAGCGATTAAATTCAGTATATCGTTTGTCACTTATGGAACATACTTTTGTCAAATTTTATAATAAATATTATGGAATAGTTTTTCCTGAAATTAATTCGTCTCCTGTACTTTATCGGTTTATAAGGGATCTAATGTTGCCAAGTATGTCATACCTATCTGTGCTTGATTTTAGTTAATTTTATTTAATTTAGTTTACGAAACTTAATCGAGACTTAAATGACACAAATAATACTTTAAATTATTTAGTAGAAACATATTCAGTTGCAAAGGAATTATTACAGTTGATTAATTTGAAGCTTGACTGGAGTCAAGCTGCACAATATCATCCAGATAATTTATTATTGGGAATTGTAATTGTGGTTACCAAATTGATTTATGGCTTGGATCATAATAAAAGGTTGGTTTGTTTTTTCCAAGAAATTTTATTTTATTTATATTTATATATATTTTATTATTTTAGGGTTCCGAGTGATAGTGACGAAATTATTCAATATTTTCCTACATTCGAAGATTGGATCAAAAAATTAAGTGATAGGCATGATAAACTCTTTCAGCAAGAGATTCCATGGGATTTTGTGTATGTGTCTCTGGTGTTAATTTTTTTTTTTTTTTATTAAAATTTCATCACAAAACAAAAAAAAAAAAAAAATTAACATGAAATATTATGTATTTTAATTGTCTCTTATCTTATTAAGCGATATAAAAGAATGGATGGAAAAAAATCCTGATAAATATATTGAATATTGTGCAGGACTATTATTATCTAATGTAAATCAAGAATCAAAAGAATCAAAAGAATCATCAACTATAAATAAAAGAAAAGATGGTGATAAAAAAATACAATTGTCTAAGCCATTCCAACAATTCTCAAAGACAGTAGCAATTGAGATAGAAAATAAAACGCTTGAAAATGAAATAAATGATCTTAAAGAATCACTTAAACTTTATAAATCTCAACTTAAAAATTCAAAGGCTGAATTAACCATTCAAGAATTTTATAAAATTATAAAGAAAATCAATAATTTCCAAAAAAAAATCGAAAGTTTAAAAAATAAAGAATTTTATGTTGAACCAATTGAAGATGAAATTCGGGAATTAAATTTCTGTATAAAAAATAATTCAATAGGTGATGAAGAATACCAGCAAGAATCACATCAAAAAAGTTATAATATTCAGGATAGATATTCTACATTTTTATATAAGAAGGATGATGATGAACGATCACCAAAATTGAATATTGGAGAAAAATATACTTCTTATCAATTAAATAGATTAAGATTTCGTAGTAAACGTGATGATTGGTTTCAAAAACAAGTAGAGTTAATTGGTGCATATCATGAAGACTATGAAAGAGTCTTGATACTTTTTTCTAGCTTAACTGGAGAATCCATCAATAAAGTACAGGCAGCAGTAATTAAAATTGAATATGATTTATATAAAGCAATTGAGAATGAAAGTTTGTAATATTCAACTGATGTAAAGGATATAAAACCACAAACAAATAAAATAAAAAATGGTAATAAAAATGGTAATAAAATTAATAATAAAAATTGGTAATAAAAATTGGTTCTCATTTAAGATGTGATCCGGCTAAGATCGACACTCGTTTTATAATAAAATCCGGGGATAAGTTATTTAATAAAACTATAAATCATCAGTTGCCCTATAGTTAAGTATAAATTGGTACAAAATAGTCATAGATGAAGTTTTAGTATCTGCTAAGTATGCTATTTGGCAATTATTTTGTAAAAAGTTTGAAGAATTTTTCAAAAAATAAAAGATACTTTCTTATACATTGAAAAAAATCAATTTTTTAAAATTATTATGAATTATTAATGTTTTTGACCTATAAAAGATTTGAAACATACTTAATATATATAAAAATTTACCTCACTTTTTTATATGTCAATAGTGCCGTTCTTAGGCGGATCATGTCTTAAAACAATTGATTGTTGATAAGATATATATAAGTTTTAGTTTAAATATCTAACAATCATAATTAGCATTAATAATTATGTATAATACACCAGGTTGAATAAGGAAAAACAGGTAATTGGTTCAATAATATATTTTCTCCCTGAGAAGTTGAAATAACATTCTGATACCAATAGTAAGGAATATTTTCAAATAGGCAACAATCCTTAATTAACTATCTATTTCAAAAAAAAGGGAAATAAATGTTTAATAATGGTTTTTTATAAAAAAAACAAAACAAAAAAGTTACCTATGGGATTTAATCATTTCCATATTGCATCTATCTGTTGAATTAACAACCAACATCATCTTCTGCTTCTGAACTTATATATTCAGGAAATATTTTATAGAGAGAGCTTTAATTCTTTTAAATTTCTCTTCAGTATTAAATGGATAGCCTACTGTTAACATGATATATAAAATAATGTCCCAACTCCAGATATCCAGCATAAAGTCTCTCCTGTATAATTAATTCAGGTGCAAAATATAAGGAATATCACAACATGTTATATCAATTTTTTTAATAATCACATCTTTTTTAAAGTTACACCTGAATTTGCTGAATCTCTTTTTGGTGACAATCTGACTCTGCGTATAAGTCTAGTAGATATGGTGTAAAATTTGCTTTCTTAACAGTTCTGTTGAAATTTCAATAAATTGTTCACTGGTTGCAATAGTAAGTTTATTAGTTTCATAATTATTTTATGTTTAATATTATTATTGGAAAATTCACCATAAACATCAATTGTAATTTATCTCTCAGTATAAATTGACACATCTGTATCAACCCTTTTGATATTGAAGTAGAGACAGTTTCTTTTTTTTGTATATCATACTAACTTCTTCATATTTTTTGTTGGGTTTGTGAAATAGGGATGCCTTCACAGATTTTTGCTTTTAAAATTTTATCCCAAGTGCAAATATATGTTGTTATGGGCCTTATCAGAGCTTACATTGATTTTGTTTAAAGGCCTTTGAGATTTTTCCAAATCTTCTTCAAAATCTTGATTGTTGCTTGATGGAATCAAGTGATTCATAAATAAGTTTTTATTTTATGCTCCTTTTGCATAAATTAAAATCATTGCTATAACTTTTTTCCTTCATTATCATATTTCTTATACATAAATTTTCAGAGGAAAAAGAAACTTTTCCTTTTCTTTGATTATTAAAATTATCCTCTGTAACTAAGGATGCACAAGATATCACTATTAAAAACTTATTAAAAATAATTCTGTGAAAGCTAGATGATCGGAAATATTTGTATATGAAAATCTCTGCTGCGGATAATGATAAGTTTATTATTAATCTTATCCCTTAATGAATCATCACGCACGCAACACGTTCAACTGAATCTTTAAGTAAAGCGCAAGATGTTCATCTCCAAAACTTACTCTCACATACTATCTCTCATCAGATCTGACAGTCACAACGGCAGATGATTCTATAATATTTTATATAATTGCGAATAATGTAAATCTTATCATTCGCTTATACCGAGTTAGTGGAGCAAAGGGCATAAGCATATATAATGAATTCTACGTTTCGCCATGATTCCAGTGTCATTGAATCACTTATTGATAACAACGGAGGCTTCCCCCCTAATTTCTCTCAAGACTATAAGCATTGACTAGTAACGATTTCTAACAACGTATGACTGTCAGCGAATGGTCATCATGTGGTCCGAAAAGAACGTTCATAGGTTGTCATTCCTTAAAACATGAATATTGTTTTTCGTTCTATATTTTATTTATAAATTTCTTAAATTTACTGAATACTTAATAAAATTTTATACTTTCACAAACAGATTTTGAATGATCCGTTCCAAATAAAGTTCACGAAAAGCTGAAACCTATATTATCATTGTTTTGCAAGGTTATTAAGAATGAAATTTAATATTTAATCTTAATAAACGATTTATTTATTAATAAGTAAAAATTGTAAACAGCTTCCCACTGCTTACTAAATTAGTGCATTCTTATTACAACGGAGATCAATGATTATGATTTTCATTATTGTTTCGGCTAAAAAATTGGGAGGAATTGAGACAATAATTGGGAATCTCGTATACAGAGAAAATTCAAGTTGCACAAAATTGTAAGAATTTTCTGTTAGACGAGTAGATCAACTTGTGATATCAGCTAGCAGCGCGTAACTGCTGATTAAAAAAATACCTAATGCCAAAGCTATTTTCTTGCTAATACTTTTTTTAGTCAATAAAAGTACTTGTCAGAATTTGTTCAGCAAAATTTTAGTTTGCTCCCTCCGATTTTAGTAATTTAGGTGGTGAGTAGACAATAGCGGTTCAGAACTACTTGTAGAAATACTTAATATGAGAGTGCTTAATTTTTCTGCATCTAAGACATCCCAGTCAGGTTTCGCCCTGTATTGTGAGTTTTTAGAAGTTGCCCTTGTCAGAATGATGTGGGAAGCTCCAGTTAGGTTAGAGGAAATAGTATTAATTAAGGATAAGGTTGAAAAAATTATGGATTGTGATCACGCTCCGCCATGTTATTTTTCTCTTTTTTTGGCTCGTATTCATGTGATTTATCCATTTCTGATCAAAATAATATAATATAAGTGGGTCTGCGTTTTGGCGCGTGGGTTTATTGGTGACAGATATAGTTGGACTTATAATAAAATTGATTTTCAACATATGTGACACAAGGTGACAAATTTTTATGAAATTCAACCAATAACCAATATAAAAATAATATAAATAATATATTTCTTTACACGGCACTTTCTACCAAGCGAAAAATTAAATTTCCGCGTATTTCAAATAGAAAATAAAATTATATTGTTTTCTAAAGCGAGTAATTTTTTGGACAGTATAATTTAGATTATAATATGTAAATATATTTTTTCGAAGGAAGAATGCTTTCCAATTACTTTATTTTTTCATTTTTAAATTTCGGTTCAAAATTCCGGAGAGAGAGAGAGAGAGAAAAAAAAAAGAAAAACGCAGTAAAGTAATAATATTACATTAAACCGTTTTTCATTTATTGATTGTCATTATTACATTCTTTTTATTATATTAATCATTATTACATTAGTATTGTAAAAATAGGTAGAATGGTTCTCGTTTTTTTTTCATTCGTTCTTTTTCTCTAAATATTTTCATTAATTATTTTCTCTCAAATTTAATTTTCCATCAAATATAGCACAACATAATAATAGTGTAAATAATGGTTAGCCTTATCATTTTTTTAATTTTAATTTTTTTTTTGATTAACCAACATAAAAATGTTATAAATATGTATAAATTTTTTATACGTTCATTATTCATCCATTCTTAAAAAATAAAATAAAATCTTAAACGTCATTCCGCATTAAATTATTTATTTTGATTATCATGCGGTCACGCAGGAATTTTTTTTTTTTATTATTTATTTAAAATAAAATATTAAATATTAAATATTATTTAAATATTTTAATAATGAACCAAAAATCATTAACTAAATAAATACTAAAAACAATAATACTAAAATAATATTTTATGCGTAAGTATAAATAAAATGAACTCAAGATTTACAATTTGTACTAACCATCCTTAAAAAAAATTAGCATTCAAATTTAACAAATAACATTCAAATAGCATATAATTAAAATAGAACGAAAAGAGAAGCATCTCTGATATAATCAAGTTAAACATCAAGTTATTTAATAATTTAAGGTTTTATTTTATTTTATTTTTTTTAAATCAAGTTTTTTTTTATCTCTTTCAATTATTTCTTATAATAATTTCATAATAATGCATAGAAGAAAAAAGAAAGATTTTTTTTTTTTGGTGCATGACACAACAACTCCCCCCTCTTAATATAATTGAAAAACATGTGAAACAAAACAAAAAAACCGGTCTTCCAGGCAGAAATATGAACCTTCGTTGGCATCTGATTTCATTCATTACCTAATTCTCTATGACTTTGTGTTCAAACTTCTCTCATTCTATTAACTCTATTCATTCTATTCTATTCTATTCTATTCTATTTATTCATTCTATTCAATATATTTCATTCTATTCAATATATTTTAAATTTATTTAATGTATTTATTTTATTGTGTCTATATTTATTTATTATTTAAATTATTTCGTCGGCGAACAAAACTTATAACTAGTTTAGATGGCTTATCTATTATTTATGTTATGGTTGTTGTTCTCACTGTTTTTACTTGTGAGATTAGATCCCCAAAGTGTGAAAGCGAAAAAAAAAAAATAATTAAAAATTAAAATTATTTTCCTCTTTTAATCACACTTTTCAATATTCAGAAAATTTTTATCTTCTAATAAAACTCCTTTATTGGAAATACCTCCGACCGACAAATCGTCAAATGGCGTGAGTTTGTATTTATCTATCCCTTCTTCATCTTTCTTTCATCTTTCTTTCTCTCTTTCTCTCTTTCCCTCTTTCCCTATTTCTATTCTTATATACTATGACTATTGCGATATTACTATATTAGTATTAATGTTATTAATTAACTCAAAAGTAGTCTAATTTGCTATCATTATTATCATTTTTATTATATACCGTGTATTGTCATTCACCGAATTACTGAAATTACTGAAATTGGTGACGTCAGCGTGATCAAAACTTGATTTTCCCAATTATATACATACATACATATAGGAAATATAAGATAGGATAATAGATAGGAAAATTAAGATAGGAAAAATTTGAGATAGTGATATATATATATTACCAATATATATCAATATATGATTCATTCCCCCCGTGCTTCAAATATATATCAAAATATAAACTGTTGACGGTTTGAGTTTGGAAAGGCTCGCTTTTCTACGCTTTTGTGTTTTATTACTACCAGGCTGGACCATGGCCGATCCACGATCTTTCAAAGATAAATACTATAGGTTACGAGAGAAGTATGATGCCCTTAACAAGGTATGCACGGTTTATTCCACCACTTTCTCTTCGCCCCAATTTATTTCCCACTATCCAACACTATTTTACCCCATTTACATAAGATTCCTATTTATTTATGATTTCCCTACCTCATACCTATTGTTTACAAGATTCCATTATTTCCACTATTTCTATTTCTAATTCTCTTATATTAATTCGTATTAATTCATTTATTATATATACACATTAAAATTTTGTAGCAAAGGGATGAACTCAAACATAACCTCGAAATAACAAAGCACAGGGCGCGCAAGTTAAAGGAAGAGAATAAGTCCGTTGATTTTATTCTATTTTTTTCATATTTTTAGATCAGATAATTCATTGAATTCAAAACTATTGCAAGAAGAAAAAGAATAATGATAATAAAAATAAATAATAACATTTATCATATTTATTTTATTTTTATTAGTCATTTGCTCGACTTAATGATGGATTTAAATCCTAGCCTTGTCGATGATGCAACTGGGTGAGTTGAGTTATAAATATTTAGTTAGAGAAATTATTCTCGTACATCTCGATTACTGTAATAATAAGTTAGAATTATTTTTATTTTTTTTTAATTATTATTATTATTATTTTTTTTTTTTAATAAATTTTGGTTGTAGTTCTTCTTCCGAAGATATAGATTTATTATCCGATGCATCTTCTGATGATGATACTAGTATAAATGCAATGAGTCGATACGGTATCTATTTCATTCTTTAATGGTTGTTAACCTTTTGTTAGATGTAAAAATATGTATAAAAAATCAAAAAAAAAAAAATCATTTGTATATTATGTTTTAAAATTACTTTAATAAAATATTTTTTTTTCTTCTTCCCGATATTCCCGACAATGTTTTATTATCATATTGTTATTATTATTATTATTATTATTTTCTCTCTCACCTGAAAATATTTTTAGAACAAACCAAACCGCTTATTAAAGATTACAAAAGAAAAGCGTTATCATCTTCTTCACGAAAACCCCGTTCATTACCCCAAGAAGCAATGACGACAACGACGACAATATCAGGATCAATAACATCACCAAATAATTCAAATTCAAAAAATATTGCTAATTCTACTTCTACCACTACGTCTACTACCAATAATATCAATACAAATACTTCTGGAAAACGCAAGGTAATAATCTCAGAATTATGTGTTTTATATATAAATAATTCAATAAATATGATTCTATATTTCATTATTAATTTATATCATTTATTGTTATTTTATGATAAAGTCAGATGAAGGTGTTGGTGGGGATGAATTACCGACGCAAAAACGACGAAGGAAAGCTCCTGGTGTGAAAAAGAAGCGTGATGATCGTACGGATGCTAAAAGGATTGAGGTATAAATTATTATTATTATTATTATTATTATTATTATTATTTTTATTTTTATTTTTAATACATTTTGTAATATACTCAATGTTCGAATATTTATGATACAATTTTTTATTTATTTTTTTATTTTATTTTAGCCTTTGCCAATGAATCCTGATAGAACATTGAAATTGCCAGTAACTATTGGTAAAGGTACTAATGAGGTGACAATTTATAGGATAGGTACGCATAATTTTATATTTATATTAATCAACAAATCGTCATCATCTTTTTTTTTTTTATAATCTTTTTTCTTTTTCCTCTTCCTTTTCCTCATCATCTTTTCATCTCTTTTCTTATGAAATTATAGGAGAAATAATTTGGGATAGAGAAGCATATCACACAAATCGTTATATATTTCCTGTTGGCTTTATGAGTAAAAAGCAATATTTGAGTGCTGTTGACGTTACGAGAAGAACTACTTACACCAGCGAGATTTTAGATGGTGGTGATAATCCAATCGTACGTTTTATTACATGTATTATTACATTTGCTATACATTTATTATACATGAAATAATTCTAAAATTTTAATAATAATAAATAAAAAATAATAATAATAATAATAATAGTTCCAAGTTACTGCCGAAGATCAACCCGGCAGAAAATTTGCAGCCAGCTCTTCCAGTGGAGTTTGGAAAAAGATTCTCGATGAAATCAATGTTCAAGGTGTTCCTTCAAAAACTCATGCAAGTGGACCTGAAATGCTTGGTTTGAGTCATTTAGGAATTACTAAATATATTCAGGTAAAAAATATCTTTATATTTTTATAATAAATATTAATATATATCTCTATTTTATTTATTTTATTTATTTTATTTAATATGTATTTATTTATATATATGTATTTATTTATTATTTTTATTTTATTATAATTTATTTATAATTTATGTATGTAGGAATTACCTGGAGCAGAAAAATGTACGAAATACGTAATGCAACGCTGGCTTGATGAAGATCAAACAACTTCTTCAATTACTCTATCTATTAAAAATGAACAAAATGATCCTACGAATGATCCCATGGATGAAGATGATGAAGAAGATGAAGATAATAGATCAGCAGTAACAACAAATGGTGGTGGTGATGGTAGCGTCGGTAATTATGAACAACAAAATTATGATCTTCACAATGACGATCAACAACAACTCCAACTCCAACAACAACATCAAATAAAACAAGAAATCGATAACAGTCTATAAAAGAGAAGGATTAATGAATACTTTTGTTTATCTTTGTATATCTTTGTTGGGGGTTTTTTTTTTTTAATTTGGCTTTTTTTTTTCAGTTTGGATTTTTTTTTTAATTTGGATTTTCAGTTTAGTTGGTTTTATCGTTCATTTTTAATTTCTTGAGAGATTCATCAATTTTGATGCTTAATTATTCCCCAATCAAAAAAATTTATCTCGCACACTTTATTGTTTATATTTACTATTGAAGAAATATATTTTCATTTTCGATTCATTATATAATACATTCTTTTAAAAAATCATCTTTATTATTGTTTTATAGTACTAGTTTAAACATAACATCTTTCTTATATACAGTATAAATATATATATATATATATATATTAATTAATTCTATTATAATTTTATTATTCTTATTATTAACGGACACATTCATCTAAAAAAAAATCAAACTTATATGAAACAACTTTTCTGGAGAAACAAAAAAAATTGTATATATATATATGATAATATATTATTTTATTTTATCTTACTTTTTTTTAATATGAGGAATGGGTAAAAATATCATCAGTTTTTTAAAAAAAATAATAATTTCTTATTGTTATTATGAAATTATTAACGCGTGACAGAGAGAATATATATATTATTTTTTTTTTACTCATTTACTTATTATTATTATTATAGTTATAGTTATTATTATTAACATAAGAACAAACCAATTTAACACACACACACATATCTATTTGTCAAATAATTTGTCCTTTATTTTATTATAAATTTGGTTTCCTTATTTAAATCAGATTTTTTTTTTATAATTGACAAAAAGTAAATAATAAATATATTAAAGTTCATATCATGAAAAATTAAATATTATTATAAATGAAATCCAAAGTGGAGGCACTTGTCATTTATTCATGTATTCTATTTTATCATTCAACTTCTTCAATATTGAAGCTTTCGAAATAGTAGAGAATGATGGAGAATGTAGCGTAACTTATAATTCTATTATTCTACTACTATTCTACTACGTAGCGCTATGGCAATTATACTTCAAATCATTTCGTTTCATACGTTGAAAACTTTTTATTTCCAATTTCTTTTTAGAACAAGATAAAAAAATTATATTTAAGAAATAAATATTAATAATTGAAATTTTTTGAACTCACGAAAGTTTTTTACCAACTGTCTTCAGCGAGTCCATTGGTTGAAAAGCCATAAAAGACCAAAAAGTGATTTATTTGTGTGCTTTTTATACAGAATTCGGGATAATTTTGTAGGGTAAATCTGGGACGACTTCCAAATTTGAACTTTGATTGAATGTACACGCACTCTTTTGAGATTCCTTAAAATTTAAATCATCATTTACTTTACTTATCAATGTAAGAGTTATTAGAAATATTTGGTCGCAACGTTTTACATTTGTTGCATTTGTTATATTGGAAATAAAAACACTTCTTGTAAAACTTGGGAGTTGTTATTTTTTTGAAACACGTTAGAATTATTGTAAAGTATGTAAAGTATGGTTGATTTAGCAATTTAATTTTTTTATATGACCCGAAATTATGGCGAAATCCATCATTTTTTCAAATATACTCGTGAAGAATCAGTCTCTACGTAATTAGAGTTATCTTGCTCTGTCTAAGAATAAAGAATTAGATTAGAGGTAGTAACCAGGGAAAAAAAATTAAAGGATCAGATAAAATTTCTTCCCCTGGAGTAACATATATAACAACTCTACAGATCAAACGAACTTTAGAGTTTAACAATGACAAATTTAACTATTATGGAAAGTGATATACCAAATTTTATTGACAAAATAATGAACTCTGAAACTCGATAACAAAGTTCACAACGGATAACTGATAAAGAGAAAAATAAAGACGAGGAGAAAATAGTTAACAGATAACCAAAGCCTCAGGATAAAAAATAGTAATTGACGTCAAAAAACATATCCATTTTTGTCAGATATATTTCCTTGTGTAAATGTATTAGCTCAATTGTGACCTTTTTGCATTTGTCACGGTTTCTGTCGCATGATATGTGTAGACGCCACACAGATTATCAAAATGTTCGTGATCTGCAAACTTTTAGTCAAAAGACCTTAAGTCTTGAGCGAACGAGCAAAGCAATTACTTAAACAGGCAAGTTAACTTTTATTATTTATTTAAAAATATTGTGGCGTGGTGAGGATCTATAGTACCCTGATCATTTCAAGTCTACAGGATGAGCCACGAAGTTGGTTAAGGATTACCCTTGCAGAGATTTTATCTTTTCGTCAACATATAATCTTAATTCTTTTTCAATTGGATTAATTTATATTGCTGTTAGTTTTTGGAAATAATTTTGGGTGTTCTATGGGTAGAAGATATTCTGATTTTGTTTTATATCAAGTTCAAAAAAATCTTGATAAAATTAATATTAACAATACTATATTGTACTATTGATAAAATGATAGTAACAATAATAGTAGTAACAATAATAGTAACAATAATAGTAATATTAATATTCATGAAAATTTTGAAGAAGAAAAACCGTTAGTAGTGAAAAGAGAAAAGTAAATATATGCCCCAAGAATATTTGCAAGCATTATTAGGTTTGTCATCAACTGAAACTTATTTAGTAGATGCTTATTCTATCAAATGTGCCTCGGCAATATCTGTCAATAAATTCATTTGCTTTATTACTTTTGGTATCATTTCTAATTTTTCAGTTTCAATACAAGATGCTTTAGGTATTGATTGGACTTTTACTTTACTTCCTTTAATTCTACTTTAAGTGTTAATTTTTTAGCCTTGATTTATTTTAAAGATAAAAGATGGAGAGAATAAAGAATTATTAATGTATTTTTTGTATTTTTTTTGTATTTTTTTTTTGTATTTTTATTATTTTTGTTATTTTTTTTCTGTATCCTTGTATCTTTTTTTTTTTTTGCGGAAATTGCATCATATTTTTTATCGTTTAATATATTTTGTAATCTATATTTTTTATAAAATACGTACGTATTCGTAATGTATTTTAAGATTTCCGGATTATTGTTTATTTGTGATACAAACAAACAAAACATCGCCGAATATTCTATGTAGAAATTCTTATTTTTAATTAACATTTTTAATACTTATATTGTTTATATTAATTTATATTTTCAAATTTTATTAACAAAAGTACTTCATAAAAATATAAAAATATATTTATGTAATGTTATTTCTCTTAAAATTTTTTTCGTTGAAGCAATTGGGAAATTAGCAAAAAAAAAAAAATTGATAATCAAATAATTTGTTACAAATTTTAATAAAAGAAAAATTCTTATTTTCAATTATATTTTATTGTTATTTCTTATTATTTATTATTATTTTGTAAATATAATTTGCCAATTACTGAAATTACTGAAAATTATTATAAGTTATTGTAAATTATTATAAATCATTTGTTATTGTTATCATTTATAACAGAATTTTATTATAAATCATTTGTTATTGTTATCATTTATAACAGAATTACTGCACAATTACTCGTACATCTTGAAATTACAGCAATTAAAAAAATAAATGTTTAAAAATAATTAAAGAGAATGAATCAATGAATACTTTTTAGTTGATTAAATAATTCATAAATGAATTCTTTTATAGGTGATCCATCGTTGGTTGCGTTGGTTGCGTTGTTTGCGAAGTTTGCGTTTGGCGGATTCGGAAAATTCACCTTAATAAATTATAAAATGTCAAAGTAATAATAATAATAATAATAATAAAAAAAAAAAAAAAAAAAAAAAAAAAAAAAATAACTTTGTGTGATTTCCAATAATTTTAATTTTCAACCAATAACCATTACTCTTTTTAATTTTTATAACAGAGATGGTAAATTTATCTAATTATTTGTTTGTTTCTTTTTTCACTTTTCTTTGATTTATGCGAGTCAAAAATGGAAACAACCAAAAATTTTAAATGTATTTTTTTATAATACATTATATAAATCCATTCAAATCCTTTTTTGTAGTTAAGAAGTAATTAATATCCCATATTTAATTTTTCAAATCCTTAAAAAACATATTGTGTTCAAGCACGTCTCGAAATAATTAAGTCATTTTTTTTTTAAACCAAAAAAATAAGAAGTAAATTGCAAATATTCAAAATATATTTCACGTTATAGTTAAGATTTTATTTAAGGTATGAATCCATAATTTTAAATTTTATACTTACATATTTATATGATAAAGAGAATATTTTCGTTATAAAAAAAAAAAATCGAACATTGTTAACATTTTTCATATTTCATTTAGTCATCATGAATGATGTTATAGATATTTCAGATATACCCATTTATATTGTGGGAAACAATAATATTCAACTTATAACTTTAATTTTATTAAATTTATTTAAGAAAGACGCTCGAAATATTCGAAATATTAGCGTTTTAATTAGTAACACACACGGGAAAGTAAGTGAGTGAATATTATTAAAGAATAATCTGAAGAATGAATAATCATGTGATATAAAAATCAAAGAATTTTGTTAACATCTTTTATTAATATCGTTCGAAAATTTTATTATAATTATTATTATTATTATCATTTATTATCATAGAACATTAATAAAGAATCTATAAATGCAAAAAATAATAATACCGGATACTTGGAAGGAGGTTAAAGATTTGAAGCTGTTTTATCTGGTAAATTTATTATTAAGATTAAATATCATCGTGAAAATTATTAATATTCTAATTATCTATTATATATTATTATCGATATATAATTTATTAATGATATTTAATATTAATATTAATATTGAAAAGAATAAATAAAAAAGTACAATTCCAGAATCCCACGTTATGAATATGACTACTTTATTCAGCGAACAAGCCGTAAATAATGCTTCGTGATTAGAAAATTCATGATAAAGCATAGAAATCACAATAATGCAATCTATTAATTAATTATATATCATGATACTTTTTATTATTATTTTTTTTATATTATTTTTATTTTTTATTTACACGCTTAATTTAAATGATTTTATTATCATCTAGTGTGTAATAACTCGTGTCCGCGAAACACTTGATCATCAAATCAATGAATTTATAAAATAATTCAATTAATCATTAGTGAATCATATATGGAAGAAAGAGATATTGGTATTATTAATCAAATATTGGTTAGATGGAATTAATTTTAATACTATATTGTGATTGATGATATAAACGATAATTGCAATAGTTATATTTGGAATATTTTCCAATTCTAATAATATTAATATCAATTATGAAAAAATAATTAAATAAATATAATTTATAACGCATTTATATACTCCACTAAATACGTTTATTATTGGTTCAATTTACACATGATAATTACATGAAAACATTTATTATTTTTTTTTTTACAATAAATAAATTTTCTTTAAAAATATTGTCTATAACTTTTATATGATCCAAACATCAAGCCCGTAATAAAATAATAAAGTAATAAAGGAATAAAAATAATTACTACAACATTTAAAACTATTATGTCGTTAAATAAGCTAATTTTCATCTTTCTAGCAATATAAAAATATATTTATTATTTTGTTTATATAAATATTCTGTAAATTATATAAAGTTTTATAACTTTTGCCAACCATATTTGCCTTAAACAGGTTTAAAACCGATATAATATATTCCAAAATAATGGAATTTATTAACTTTAATTATCTGCTGATTTTTAAGAGTATGATTTTTTCCGGTTCATGTGCTTGCATGATAACGCATAAATTCGAGAAACTTCCTTTTACATCATATGATTGAAATGTGAATTCAAATAAAAATTATATACTGTACTGATATTTTATTTTTTAAAAAAATAAAACTTCTACTATACATACTATAAAGTGAATAAAAAATGTTACCTTTTATAACATGCCAAGAATGCAAAAAAGTTTTCGCTGGCGGGAAATAGTACAAACCGTGTAACTTCAAAAATGATTTTGATAAATAGATAAGTGGAAATGATACAATAGATGAATTTATTAACTAAATGTTAATTATTATGATGAAGTAACAGAATGGATACCTTATGATGGATTTCAAGATATTAAAGGAATAACAAAAGATGGGTTTTTGATCGATGGGTATATTTTAAATTGGAATATTAAAAATCAAAAATGGAAAAGAGATGAACAAGATGTAGCAATAAAAAAGTTTGATGGTATTGAGAATATAAATGAAGATTTTTTAAATTAGGTAAAATTTTATTTTAATAGTCAAAAATTTATTTAAAAATGGATAAAATATTAATTATAATTAAAAAAAAATATATATTATTTAGATAAAAATTCACTCGAGAACAATGGGAACATTAATTCGTTTTTGTGGAATTACAAAAGATCCAGAAACTCACAAATATATGATGATTTTAGAATATTTAAAAGGTGGAAATCTTAGAAATTATTTTAAATAATAATTTTAATAGTTCATTAAGATTTCTACCATGGAAATATTTTATCATTTAATTTTAAAAATTCTTATTTACGTATTTCGGATTTTGGCTAAGTAAAATAATTGAGAAAATGTGGAAAATCCCCAAAAGGGAAATGTTTTTGGAGTATTGTCCTATACACTTTTGATGAATTATATAAAGAGTTATACAAATAAAAAAAATTATAATTCAAATTAAAGAAGCTTTAGAATTTTTTAAAATCAAGAAATATCTACAACTTTACTTAATTTCAATACATATCACAAGCAATTTATACCAATAGACTTCTAAATTTTTCAATCCTTTCAAAACCTGTAAATGAATCAAATTTTTAAAAATAAAGAAGAGGTCCAAAATATTTATTATTCGTTATTTTTTCATGGAATTTTTTGGCTAAAAGTTATGATCAAATTGTTCCTTTGATGATCACCATTTCATTTTTGTAAAAGACTATTAAAAATAAATTTATTAAATAAAATGTTTCCGAATTGAGCACACAATGTAATTTTTACTATTTTAATGCAAATTATATAATAATTTATTGTATCAACCCATTTTTTTTTTTTTTTGGATTATACATTTATTAATCGTACATCAATATAATGTACCTTAATTGCTGTCACCTGTAATATCAAAGATAATTTTTTACCTTTCTAAAGATACCTGAAATATAAAGAAATAAGAAAATTTACAAATTCATTTATATGAATTCTCATACAAGAATCAAAAAATGATGATTGTTCCAATATATATATATATATATATATGCAGCTTATACAACTAACATTTTTCTTCTTTTATTAATTGAACTTTCAAAAACACTTTTGAAATATTATCTGGGCGAAATAGAATTCAATAATCCAAATAATGAAACCTTGAATTAATTTGAATCTTTAAATTAAATATTATTATTAAATGCACCCTGAATTCTTATAATTAAGATAACAGATAATGAATAACCACAAGATTTTTATTTTTATTTATTTTAATTTTATTAATTTAGTTAATTTAATTAACCCGATTTTAATAATAATAAAATAATAAATACTTAGATTGTAACATTCATTATTATTTTAAATAATTATTATGTTAACTATATATTCTACAACTTCTTTGTCTTTTATATAATTAATTTATTCTTAATATTCTAATCTCAAATTAATTTAATTGTTACCTTGATCTCTAAGTGACTTCGCATTCAATTATTTAATAAAATAATCTCGGTAATGTTTATTAAAGCTCCATATTCTTTCATCCTATGCTTATTTTAAAATTAAATAATTTTTAATTTAATAATTTTAATTAATAAATTTCGGTAATTTAATTTAATTTAAAAATAATTTTCCAATTAATTTAATTAATTAATTAATTTAACTAATTAATTAATTTAATATTACTTTCTCTAAGTGGCGTAATTGGGAATTGATACTAAAGAATAATATACCTTTATTGCTTCTAAATGTGATATGATAATAATATGAATATTAAATGCTGCTGACGACGAATATGATGATTCGATGATGATAATGATGATGATAAATAACAGAATTATCAAAATCACCAGAATCATTTAAATTAAATTTTCACAGAACTTTCATCATTATTATTAGGATATTATGATTATTGTATTATTATTTATTATGTAGAATTAGAATTATTATTATGTGGGTTGCATTGTTGAGTATGTTAATTAAGTGAACATAATAGTAATAGGGGAAATAACCTTCATACATTGTTTGATTATTATTGTTTGATTATAAAATTATTTCATTCCTTCCTCCACTTTTAACTATTAGATGATGATGGAAACTTTTACTTTCCTTTTAATTGGTCTTTTAGGTGTAAGATGATTTCCATAATAATTCTGAAATTATTAACAAACATTAATTCATTCTATAATAAACTCTTTAATTAATAAATGTTAATAAATTATTACTTACAATTTTCTTTTCTATTTCTAGTTCATTTTTCCTAAAATATTTTCTAATTTTGAAGAATTATCAACCTGTACTGAAAGTTTGGACCAAAAATCTTTTCTCTGCTCTCATTTGACTTTGATCTAATAAATTTTTCAATCGCTTCTTCGGTATAATGTCAAACCTAAATGATAATCTTATTATATCATCTACTTCTACACAGAAAATTGTGTTACAAATCGGAACATTTTAAAAATAAAAATAAGTTATTAAAAAGCGACGTAGGTACTGGATAATTATTTTTAGCATCGAATGAATGCTCTAATTGTTTAACACGAAGTTTAATTAACTTCGTTTATAACAGTTATTAATTTAGTTTGTTTAATTAATGTAATAAAAACTGAAATATTAAGTTAAATTAATTAAATATGAAATGTTAAATTTATTCCGCGATAGGGTAAGAAGCAATGATATATGATGATAAAAGGGTAAGATAAGAATCTTCAAGATTTACCACTGCTGCACAGCCTGAAAAGTTTTTGTGTCTAGATTCCCAACAGCGAACAGCAAATAGAATTCGGATCAGGTAATCTTTTTGTCACTGGAACTTGAAAATCTATGAAATCTATGCTAAAAGGTTTAACTGGGTAATCGGAAAGACCTTTGACTCCACAAATAAGCGTGGGAAATTAGGATCTTCGAAAAATATAACAGCAAGCTCATCTTCCAGTATTACTTCGAAATTTCCAGAAACGATGAAAGTAACTAGAGGATATTTTGTTTTTCCCGTATTTTTCCCCAAGCATTAACCACCGACAAAGTAGCTAGCAAAATAAATACGAGCATAAAATGGTTTACTTTTTTTTTTTTTTTATTTGTAAATTTAGAAATGTGTTTTAAAATTTTCTTGAGTAATTGAATTCAATTAACGATGATCAGTAGTTATTGGTGTGCAATTTCTTTTTGACAGAAGACTTTTTAAATCGATTACGATCGACATCAACATTTAAATAATTTTTAATCAAACCTTTTTTGGCAGCTTTACATAATTATGCGTTCAAATATACATAAAAAAATCGGTGTATGAATTTTAGTCAAGTTATACGCAGCAACGCAGTATCGCATAAGTTTTGTAAATTATTCATAAGTTGGAGCAACTACTTCTTTATTTACATTTGCACCCGACGTCACCTAGAAACTCATCAAGTATCTCTTCATTCCAAATTTAAAAGCTGATGCTGATGTTAAATATGATCAAGTAATTAAAATTAATTATCAGAACTTGAACCTCGTATTAATGGACCTTTTACACCTATTAACCTTCTTAGTAAATTTTCGAATTTCATTAAAAAAAATGAATGGAAAGATGAAATAAAAGCAGAGTTAATAGGAAGTTTTACAAATAGTAGTTATCAGGATATGAGCTGTGTTAGTTAACTATACAACCAACACTAGTTAAATACAAAAGAATCGATGTACCAAATGGTGATTCCTATACTATAAATCAGCTAAAAATCGGTAACAATCGACTGTCCTATTGCATCCTATATTATAAATCAGCTAAAATCGGAATTCCTTTTCGGTACGGCATATCTTTTGTATTTGACCTGTGCAAAAAGCAGATTTTTTTATCACTCCTGGTAATAATCAAATTCAAGAGACAATGGAAAGAGAGTAAACATCATTTCATGACAGAGATTGGGATGAAAGTTTTGAATCAAGGGATAGTATTTATAGTATAACTGACAGAATATGTTTAATGATATTCAATTTATAAAATTGCTCTTTAATTTCTGTTAAATTTGGTCTATTTATTGGGATTTGAGTCTCATCAAATCACTAAACACTGGTCTTAATCCACCTCTGATTTTTGTATATTAGATCTATTAAAAAAAGGACTATATTAACATTCCAAAACTATATACATTGGAAGATATATGAATGAATCTTCAAATATTTCAGGAATATTATTCCATATACATAAATTGTTGAAGTATCAATACTTCTACATAATAATCCTTTTAATTGAATCAAGAATTCCATTTAAAATGTTTTCAGAATGAAGATCTCTATGGATCAGATTATTATTATGAATTTGTCCAATTCTGTATAAAATATAGTAATTTAAAGTTAGTATTTACATTTACTTAATAGATTAATACACATCCTGTTACTATATAAATGTAACCTTTCTAACTTTGTTTGTCAAGTAGTTTCATCAACATTTATTTATTAATATGTAGATCTTTAATGCAAACTTCCATCTTCTGCAAATCCCATTACTATAATTTATATTATTAGTATTAGGATCCCTGGTTATTCATAGCAATATATAATAAAATTATTTGAACTTGTTATTCAATCTATTTGATTATAAAATTAAATTCAATAATAAATATTTATTTATATTTTTTAGGAAAAAATAATAAAATCAATTAAAAATTAAATAGATATACTTCTTTTAAAACAATACCAGTCATATCTTTAGAATTATGTAGATTTTTAAGTGCTATCTTTATTTCATTTTTCCATCTTTAATTCAAATAGTACTGTTTACTATACCAAAATCACCTTCTGCTATATATATATATATTATATTTAATTGAGAATATGGAATCCAATTTATTAATTCACTTGACTCTTTTGTTATGCCTTGAACCATTCTAGATGCAGATTGTTGCTTTTGTTTCTTAACATCAATTATTGATTTGTTTTGTTCCGTTTCTTTATAATGAAATATCATCTGGATTTATTTTTAAAGTGATTTATATTTTTCATCGAAATTTTAATGCAAGAGTATTTTATTTCTAATGATTTAACAAAAACTTTTAAATGCTTCAACATATTTTTTTTTATTCTAGTCCTAATGAATTATTAAAATCTATTAATGCTTCATTATATTTTTTTGAAAATAGATTAATGCAAGAACATCATTTGGTTCTAGTTCTAATGATTTATTAAAATCCATTAATATTTCATGATATCTAATTTTAAATTAAGTTTCACCTCGTGACATTAATTAATGTAAGATAATTATTTGGTTCTTAGTCTTAATGATTTATTAAAATTCCCTAATGTTTCAATTTCTACCTTTTTTTTTCTTTTTAACTTTTGATACGTTTCTCCTCATAATCTTCATTTCATTATTGTATCTGTAGGTTTTGCTTGGTCAATTTCAAGTTGTGAACATTTTTTGAATAAAATAAATAGTACATGAAAAAAAAGGTTGATTTATTGCAGATCCTCACTTTTAAAATTTTTAGTTATTCAAGATGGATGTCTACATCTTTGGTAAGTGTATATGTGTATGCTATAAGAAATCAAAGATTATTTTTCGGTCATACCACACTGGATTATAGCAGGGTTTGTTCTCACATCTCACGAGGCCACAGTGGCACAAATAATATTTATATTATTGGTGATTACACAATGTAATAATCAAAATTTATTAAAAATTCCAAAACTTGAATCAGTCTTTATTATCTGTATTTAGTAGATATATTGATGATTACTTTCTATTCAAGTTGTTAATATTATATTAATATAATATATAACGTTTTTTGTATTATCAAGATTCGATGTCAAGATGTGACAAGATGAGATGGGAGATGATTAAAGTGCATAAAATTACATAATTTGTGTAATGGGATGAAAATTAAACATGAATTACATAATTATGAAAATTTTCAATTATACGACAGATGGGAAGAAATTCCGGGAACTTTCCGTGTATGTACATTGTAATGTATGTAATAAAATGTATTTTTTATTAACATTTATTCACAAAAGATCTATTAAATAACAAAAAAAAATGATGATCCTTCAACTTTGTAATACATAAATCATCGATATTTTACATTCTTTCTTTCTTCTCGTTCGTTCTTTAATGTTTTCATAAATAAGTTCCATTTTATCCCTTAAATTTCTCTTTTAAAATTTCCCTCAAATTTCTCGGTTTTTTTTTATGATATCATATTTTTATTTACATTTAAATTTAAATTCATATTTTTATTTTATTATTTCATTTCCATTTTCCCGAATCGATATATTATATATATATACATATTCGGAATAAATAACAAGATCTAATCTAAAAGAGTAAAAAAAAAAAAAGAAAATAATTAAAAGAATAATAATAATAAAAAATAATAATAATAAAAGAATAGCAATGTTAAAAAGATTATATTTAATTTTGTTCACTTCAATATGGATAACGACCTTCATGATCCCTACTACTATAGTTGCAAAATCCTTGTCTTCCTCAGATAATAAAGGATTCAAAAAATCATCACTTTCATCCAAGAAGGCACCTTATTATTATAACACACGAAACTCACGATCTTTCCAAAATATTTTTGAAAACCCCGAATGTCCCCCTCCTCCACCCGAAAAAGAATGTCCCCCTTGTTTTAATTGTTTACTTCCAGCTTTTTCTTGTTTAAATTTTGCTAACTGTAGCGCATTTGACGCAAAATGTCAATGTCCACCTGGATTTGGTGGAGACGATTGTTCTTTACCAGGTATAATAATATATATATTTTTTTTTAATTACCTTAATTGTATTAATAGATATATTTATATTTTATTTATATATAATGTAAAATAAAGAAATATCTATTAAATAATTTGATAATTAATCTAATCATTACATTCTATTACATTATTTATTATAGTATGTAATTCATTGTCGGAAGGTCCAAATCGACATATTCGTCCTGACAATCAAACATGTGAATGTAGTGAAGGATGGGAAGGAATTAATTGCAATGGTTAGTTTTTTAATTAATATTATTTGAATAATAATTTTAATAGTTAAAATATGAGATTTACGAATAATCAGATCAATGTAATTATTTTAATTATCCAAATTATTTTTAATTTAAAATAGTATGTAAAACGGATTCATCTTGTGATCCGATGGTAGCCACTGGAACGGGTGGTGTTTGTTATAAAGGTGGATTAACTGTCAAAGAGAATTTTCAAATGTGTGATGTGACGAGTATGTATTTTCATTTTATATAATACATATCTATCTATTTATCTATCTATTTATCTATCTATCTGCCTGGATTACTTTGGAATTATTATTAATTAATTTGAATAATTTTGAATAATAATTTTTTTTTTTTTAGATAGAAAGATTTTGGATATGCTTCCCGATCAACCTCCTCAGGTCACATTTTCTTGTAATCGTCCAGACGAAACTTGTGATTTTCAATGTATTTTATCATTTCTATTTATTTTTTTTTTATCATTTCAATTTATTTATTTTTCAAATTGATATTTAAATATTATTATTTCGTTTCTGATTTTAAATATCTTTACTTTAATCGGTTAATCGTGATTTATACTATTCTCAATATTCTTTACACATACACATACACATACATATGAATATAAATATATGTGTGTATAGTCTGGATTAATCAAACTGAATCATTTTACTGTCATTTAAGTGAATGTTCTTTTGATAAAGAAATTACTAATAATTTAAATATTACAAAATATACGTGTGAAAATATTAAATGTAAATGTATGGAAGGAGAAATGTTATGTGGAAAAGGTGGAAGTATTGGTATGTTTATTAATATATTTATTAATAAATTTATTGAGATATTATATATTTTTGGATATTTAATATATGAGGTATTATTTATATAACACATACACACACATATATATTAAAATTTCTTTTAGATCTTTCTGAGTGGTTGGTTGAAGAAATTAAAGGTCCTGGAACATTCATATGTAAGAATCCTGATGATTGTAGATTTTCTGGTTTGTACTTTTTTTTTTTTTTAATTTCTTTCAGTATATTAATTTAATTCATTTAATTAATTTAATTCATTTAATTAATTCAATTCATTTAATTTAATTTTATATAATTTAATTTTATATAATTTATTTAATTTAATTTTATATAATTTATTTAATTATCAAAGAACCTGCCATGAATGGTTTAATAATGGCAATTTTTGGAGATGAGAATATTTTCTTAAATTGTTATAGTGGAGAATGTTTACATTATAGTGAAGTACCTGGATTCGAGGTAAAAGATAATAATTTTTTAATATAATTTAATATTAATTTAATATAATTTAATAATTTTAATATATATAATTAATATAATTATGAATAACATAATTCAATAACTTTTATATAGAGGCCACCTAAACCAGATAATACAAATATGATAATTGTATCAATTTTAGCAGTTCTGACATTTGTCGCAGGAATTTTTGCAGCAACATTTTATTTATCTCATAATTGGAAAACTACTTCATCTTATGGACAAATTCAACTTACCGATAATAATGAATCCGCCAAACTTATGACGGATCATATTCCGGCTTCATTGTTATTTCAAGATGTTAGTTATTGGGTGGGTGATAAAAAACAAGTTCTTAATTCGATACATGGAGTTGTTAAACCTGGTGAACTAATGGCAATCATGGGTGGTTCCGGTGCGGGTAAAACTACTTTCTTGGATATTTTGGCTAGAAAAAATAAAGCCGGTACAATTAGTGGTGAAATCTATGTTAATGGAAGAATTGTTGGTGATGATGAATTTAAAAGAGTGGTGGGGTATGAATATTTTAATTATTTTATATAATATTTATATTTAATATTTTAATATTTAATATTTAATATTTAATATTTAATATTTAATATTTATTTAATATAATTTAATATTTTAGGTATGTTGATCAGGAAGATCACCTTCTCTCAACTTTGACAGTTTATGAAACGATTTTATATTCTGCACTTTTAAGATTACCTCGAGAAATGTCTTTCATAGCTAAAAGGCTTAGAGTAATAGATACAATGAGAGAATTAGGAATTTTAGGAATAAAAGATTCACGAATTGGAGATGCTGGTATGTTTTAATATATTTAAAATATGATATTCTAATTCTAATATGATTTTATTTTATTTTCATCGATTGATTATTGTTTTTATTGTTTATAGGGGCACGATCAATTTCAGGAGGAGAAAAACGTCGAGTGTCAATTGCTTGTGAATTGGTTACTTCACCTTCAATCCTTTTCTTGGATGAACCAACATCCGGATTAGATGCTTACAATGCGTGTAACGTGATCGAATGTCTCGTTACATTGGCAAAAAATTATAATCGAACAGTGATTTGTACAATTCATCAACCGAGAAGTAATATTTTCGCTTTATTTGATCAATTGGTTTTATTGGCTAATGGATATATGGTTTATTCTGGTCCCGCGAATAAATGTCAATCACATTTTGAAAATATTGGTCATAGTTGTCCTCCTGGTTTTAATATTGCTGATTTCCTTGGTAATAATTATTTATAATTAATAATTTAATAATATTGTTTATTTAATATTTATTTATTTATTAAATAATCCAATATTATTTATTTATTTATTTAGTTGATTTGACGATGTATGCAGCAAAACCACATAAGTTAACTCAAGATCCTACAATTGGAAATGAAGAAGAAGAAGATGATGATGATAATAATAGTTTTTCGATTAGAACTGAATCTCGACCATTATTATTGAATCGAACATCCATTTCTGATTTACAAGATTTACAATTATATTCACCACATTCCGTTAATCCCTTATTAAATAATAATAATAATAATAATAATAATAATAATAATGATAATAATGATAACAGTAATAATAATAATAATAATAATAATAATGACAATGATAATTTATCATCACCCATCGAACTTAATAATAGAGAACATAATAATCGAGAGATTGATATTGATATGAACAATGATGGATTTGATGATGATACAAGTGAACATTTACGTAATTTGGTTAGTTCTTACCGAAGGAGTTTGATTTCTCTTGAAATTAAAGATGAAATTGATCGAGCAGTAAATAAGTAATAATTCATTTATTTACTAATTATATATATCTAGCTATCCGGTCTATTTATTTATTTATTTATTTTTATATAAATTTTAATTTATATATTTATATGTACATTTGATTTGTTAATTTATAGTGATCAACTACCAGTTCTTATGACGGCAACTCCGGAATCTATCATAAGTACCCATCAACGTGCATCTTGGCTTACGCAATTCCGTATTCTGTCGGATCGAACATTCAAGAATCTATATAGGAATCCAATGTTAATGTTAACACATTATTGTATTAGTGTTTATTTAGCTCGTAAGTTTCATTATTAATTATATTTATTATGTTCATTATATTTATTATATTTATATTAATTTATATTTATTTATATTAATTATCTTTGATTTCATTTATAGTTTTATGCGGTGCATTATTTTATAAAGTTACAAATGATATCGCTGGTTTCCAAAATCGAATGGGTGTATTATTTTTCATGTGCGCATTATTTGGATTTGGATGCCTGAGTTCATTACACGTGTTTGCTGCTGAACGAATTATATTTGTTAAGGAACGTGCTAATGGATATTATTCTCCTATTACTTATTTTTCATCCAAGGTTTGTTTATTTTCATTTTATATAACTCAAGAATTATAAATAAATACAATAATTAACAATAATAATACAACAATAATAATAATAATTATATAATTATAGGTTCTATTTGACATAATACCTCTTCGAGTGGTTCCACCTATTCTTATGGGTGTCATTATTTATCATATGGTCGGCTTGGTTAATGGAGTACCGGAATTTTTCAAATTTTTATTGGTTTTAATTTTATTCAATTTAACAGCTGCCAGTATTTGTTTATGTATTGGTATACTTTTTAAAGAAGTTAGTGTCGCAAGTTTATTGAGTAGTTTGATTATGTTGTTTAGTATGTTATTCGGTGGATTATTATTAAATAAAGGTAATTTATATTTATGACTTATTTTTTTATATTTTATTTTTATTTTTTTTTTATATTTTATTTTATTTTATTTATTTTTATATTATATTTTATTTTATTTATTTTTTTTTTTTTATATTTTATTTATTTATATTTTATTTATATTTTTATTATATAGATTCCATTCCAGATTATTTGGCATGGTTGAAAGATTTATCATTTTTCAATTATGCTTTTGAAGCAATGATTGTTAATGAAGTAGTTTATCTTCAATTAACTGAAGAAAAATATGGATTGAAAATTGATGTAAGTTTTGAATGTTATTAATATAATTAATATCTAATAATAATTATTAACAATTATATAAATTAATTAATTAATTACTTTAATATTATTATCTTCTAGGTTCCTGGTGCAACTATTTTATCAACATTCGGTTTTGACGCATCAGCTTATTGGTCAGATGTCTTTAAATTAACAATGATGTTCAGTATTTTTATTATACTTTCATTCACCAGTTTACAACTTTTAGTGAAAGAAAGACGTTAATTGAAATTGTTATTTTTTAAAATCATTTATAATTTTTTATTTCATTTTATTATATGTTTAATATTATATCACTTTATTATATATTAATATTATATATTACATTTTCTCGACATTTTTCTTTATTTCTTTCTTTAGAAATTTTAATTTTTTTTAGCAATTATATATAAATTAGTTATGTATCTATATAATTATATATATATGCATTTTGTATTTTTTTTTTTTTTCGTTTGGGATATATTGTACAATAATTATATAAATAAAAATCTTTTATAATAAATAATAATAATAATAATTTATTAAATGCCCAGAAGTCGATGAATATAACATTTTAATTATTTAATTAGAAATATTAAATTTAATCATAAATCAGGTTTTTTAAACTATTGAACTCGGAAATAAAATATTTAAAAATATAATAACGTCTGTTAAAATAAACATTTTATATGTTTAACTTCAGTTCAAATAAAATAATATATTAGCAATTGGAGGTACAATTATGAGTAAAAATCATAATAATCAAACCATTTTCCTAAAAAATAAAATTTTTGGTATCCATCAGCCACTATTAAATAAATATAATATTTAATAGTACCCAAGTCGCACGACGTGGACGTTAATACCAATAGCGACTCATTTAGAAAAACGGACTATTTATGGCGCGCTGCCCAGCGCTTTACTACTGTTCTTTTTTCACGTAAAAAGAATTGCAAGAAAAACGGTCTACTTATAATCGCGCTGACAAGCACTATGTACGCAATTTATAGTTCTTTTTTCTCGTAAAAAGAATCAATTTGTTTCGCGCTGACCAGCGCATTACTACAGTTCTTTTTTTTTTTCGATAAAAAAATTGTAAGAAAAACGGTCTTGTTCCAGATTTTAGGAGATAAAAGATCTAATATAAACAAGATCAAAAATATATTCTTGCAAATTATTCGTAATTTTCCCTCCAATTATTCTTCGAGTTCCTTTCGATGCTGTTCTCGCTTTTAGATTTGGAAATAACCTTTGAAGATTTCAGGATTATTTAATTGTGATTAGAAGAACGTTGTGAAATTTAAATATGTGACAATAAAATAAAAAAAAGAGTCTTAATCCCACTCCCCTTGTTCACTTAAAATAAAAAAAAATTCTTAATCCCACTCCCCTTGTTCACTTAAAATAAAAAAAAAATATTGCCTTCTCACTTAGAAACTGAAATCCCATAACCTACTAAGAAAAAGCAAATATCCCCCAGGAGCTCTATTTACAATTTCTTAGTAAGAGATAGTAAACCAATTTCCTCGATAAGAAGGCAATGTGACTTCTCACTTAGAAACCGAAATCCCATAACCTACTAAGAAAAAGCAAATATCCCCATTTACAATTTCTTAGTAAGAGATATCAACAAGATGAGGAAAAAAAATGAGAGCGTATTTATAAGCATCAGTCACATTAGATAGCCGTGACTCATGGTACTGTGACGGAAGATCTGAAGAAGATCTCCAGAAGAATATGTCATCCGCGACTATGCATGTCGATCATAAAACGATTTCTCTAAATTAGAAACGAAAAAAACCTACAGCACCCACGATTCAATCATATTATCATTATTATAATTCACAATAATTCCAACCAGAAAACTTTTCAATGAATTTAATCCGGAATATAATCAAGAGTTTAATGTTGAAAACCTAACCAAGCGTGCGACTAAATTGGATATATCAAAGTTAGAGTATGAAGTAATTTAATTTTAAATTTTATCATTCGATCACGATCATATACGTAAATCCAAACAATTTTATATGCTGATTTGTCATCACCGGAATTTCCAGAATTCTTTATTTTCTTAGATTCAGAAATTAAAAATAGAAATGTGTTAAGATATATTCCACCTAAAGGCAATCAAGAATTATTATACTCATAGGATATGGAGTAGAATTGACTTTAAAAAATGCAGATTATATTGTAATTGATGATTGTAAAGTAGAAGCAGGTAAAATATTTAATATATATAATTTTATTATTATATTTAAACATAATATAATATCTTGTTATTTATTAAAGAAAATGATAATGTAAGTAAAAATAAAGAATCAATAAACATTTCCGAAATTAAACTTTTAGGTTCGAGAGTCAAAACAGCGAAAGTTATATTGGATTCATAAGATCTGTTGAAGACACTTACATAATTATCACAAGATTTCCCAAAATATTCACATTATATATATTAAGTTATTCATTAGGACAGAAAATTGAAATGAATCAAGAAAATTCGTAGAGTCAAATTCATTTTAGCTTAATGAATTAGTAATGAATCCTTTATCTATTGATCCATTTAGGTAATTTTTAAATTAAAACTTAATGAATTTTTTAATCTATCTTTTAATAGATTATTATATTTTTTAGTTTATTAAAATTGTTATGCCAAACGATTTTATCTTATTTATATTAGATCTTTCGTCTCCTGAAAATCTAGATATCATAGCTGAACATGTAAATACTTTATATCACGAGGTATTCCTTTAAGATTTGGTCTTGTTCCTCTTTTCTCAAAAGATCAACCTGATGATGAATAATTTTTATAATTTTTTATTTTATATTTATTTATTAATGTTATTTTAATTATGAATAATAAATTAATTAAAATTAATTAAATTAAAGTTAATCAAGATTAAATTAAATTAAATTAAAAAAAAAAAATTATTTCTTTGATATATCCAATTTAGTATCAATAAATTAAATCGTTCCAATAGGGTCGATTAATCGAGTCTAAATCTTAGGGTAATTCTTAAATCATGCATAATGAATATGTATAAATTATTTATTTTCAAATTATTTGGTTTAAAACTTTTTTTATACTTTCTCATTGATTAGTGAATTTGCAATTAAAAAACTTTTTATATATTTATTGAGAAAGTTAAATTTTATTCCACGGCGAATTTTGATATCATTTATTTATCTTGATAAGTATCATAAAAATGTAAATAAAAAAATTTTATTGAAGATCGGTGATTTTTCTTAAAATTCCGTTACGTTATTTATTTCTTTTAATGATTAGATTTTATTGTTGATAATGGATCTGATTAAATAACAAAGATGCAAGTTAACATTATTATAAATGTTTAAGGTGATCTCGCCAATATGAATGAATACAAATGTAATAATTAAAAATTGGTACTTGGGCAGATACATTTTTATAAGCATCCGCCAAATTTAGTTAAGTGGCTTCAGATGTTCAGGTTAATAAAAATTGAAATTATTATTATTATTTTTTTTTTTTTATCATAGAATTTAAATCACATTTATATATGTACTGTATTACATAAAAGTTATTATTAATCATTATTATTGTATTTGTCATAAAATAATAAATTAAGTTTTAACATATATTTTAAAAAATATTTATGATGATGATATACAAAATTTATGCTTGAATGTTAAGCATGGGTTGTACATTTTCAGTAATTCTTGGTTTAGGTTGATCTTGATATTCCCAATGTAAATCATCAAAATCATAACCTCCTATGAAATCCCAACCTGATTCTTTAACATGATAAACTAAACGAATAAATAAAATAATTAATATTTTTTTTTGATGTTATTTGAGGGAGGGAGAGAGGAAGAGATATAATCATGATGCAATAATGATAACGATAACAATAAATGAATTGATAAACACAACACATACGATTGAGTGTACCACCCGATGCAGAATCTCTATGAGCAGCATGATAAACCGAACGTCTGCCCAATTCTAAAGCATCTTGAACTGACATGTCGTAATCGAATCCATTATCTAAAACACCATAAGCGAAAAGTGAACCTGATCCTACTGAGAACAAATCACCTTTTAATCTTGAACCATCGCTATCTACATAAAATAGATTGGGACCCTTGTGTACGCGCGTGTTTTGTGTTTATGATATATGTGAGTGTATGTGACTTGTACGCTATATTTGTGATAATAATAATACTTACTGTTTTATCCCAACCAGTAACCATAGTTCCCTATAATCATGATTTATAGTATAATATAGTAAATAATAAAATAATATAATATAATAAATTATAATATAATATAATAAATAATAATATAATGTAATAAATAATAATAATAATAATAATAATAATAATAATATATCATTAATAATATAATAGAAATAGAATTATAATAAATATATATATTTTCTTTAATTACCATCGAAAGTCCATATCCTTTATATCTATAAACAATATTCGCTAAAAGTTTGGAAGCTGCCGCTACAGAAATTCGTTCCTTATTTCTTAATTCATGTAGTCTAATTAATTTTATTTGATTATTTTGATTATTATTATTAATTATTATTATTTTATTTTTTGAAGACGATAAAATAATAATAAATGATGATGATGATGATTGATGAATGATGATAATAACCGGCATCTTCGACCAAGTTCTCTCTCCCAGAACATACAATCAGCTGCACCACCAGCCATTGTTCCCAAAAGATAAGGATTAATCTCAATAACTTTTTTCACACTGTGAGTTGCTAAAATCACAAACAATTTATATATATATATATATATATATATATATATATTTTATTAGATTCAATCATTAAATTAATAAAATAATTTTGAATGAATAAAAAATGATAAAAAATAAAAATGAATAAAAATAATTAAAAATAAAAACTAATAATTCTACCTATATAACTTCCGGAAGAAGCACGCGAGTCGACACAAACTACCACACCGCCATGGAATTTGAAAGCAAGAGTCGTGGTGCCATGATCGAATTTAAAATCATGAGCTTTCATAAACTCGACGGGCTATAGAGAATTAATTATTATTATATATTATTATTATATATTATTATTATTATATATTATTATTATTATTATTATTATTATTAGAATTATTAGAATTAATAAAAGAACAAGAACTTTATCAAATTCTTTGTATATGATATTGAAATGTATAGAAATACACATACATTTTCACAAGCTGGTAATTCTAAAATTGGCAAAGAAAATTCTTTGGAAGCATCAAATTCATCATTAAATAAATTCTCTACATCATCAGCATAATAAGAATCTTTAAATTGATTAACAAACAAATCCATTTTTTTAATTTTTTCTTTTATGAATCGAAAAATAAAAAATATAATGTTATAAGTTTATACGAGGAGTACGTAATTTGATATTGGACGTTGTACAAGGAATACAAATAATCAGATCAATCATATATCGAGAGATATATATTTATTATTACTTTATTTTTTGATTTTTTTTCGATTCATAAAAAAATTAAAATAAAATCAAAAATGAATTTGTTCGTTAATCAATTTAAAAATTCTTATTATGCTGATGTTATAGAGAAAGAGAGTTTTTAATAATTAATTTTTTTTTTATGTACTTAGTCAATTTAGTGCACCTACCGATACTTATGGTCAGAATTTCGGGTAAGATTTTCGGTTTAGTATTTAATATTAATACTAATATTAATTTTTTTTAAATAATAATTTCACTTTAGTAAACCCACTTCCTTACATTTTAATCCTTATGACGATAACGGCGGGTAAGATTTCGTTTTAATATTTATTAATATGATTATATTTAATATTCATATTATATTAAATAATGATAATTAATAAATTACTATTATTCTTATTTCTATATATATAAATATATTCTAGTACTGCCCTAGCATTATCAGGTGAAGATTATGCTATTATAGCCAGTGATACTCGTCAAAGTTCTGGTTATGATATATATTCTCGTTATGATCCAAAGGCATTTAAATTGTGATTATTTATTTATTTATTATTGATGTTGTTGCTTTGTTGTTTTTGTAATTATTATTATTTTGTTGTAATTAAAAATAAATAAAAATATTAATTAGATCTGAGAAAACAGTATTAGCAATGTGTGGATTTAGCGCTGATGCTAGTGCATTGACTAAAAGAATAACTCAAAGAATGGAGGTAAATTAATTAATTATTACAATTAATTTAATTTTAATTCAATTTCAATTTTAATAATTTTAATTCAATTTTAATTTAATTTTAATTCAATTTTAATTCAATTTTTATTTTTAATTCAATTTCAATTTTAATTCAATTTTTATTTTAATTCAATTTCAATTTTAATTCAATTTTAATTTAATTTTTATTTTAAACAGTGGTATAAACATGCCCATGAAAAAGAAATGTCAACTGAAGCTCTTTCTCAGTTACTTTCAATTACTTTGTATTCTAAGCGCTTCTTCCCATATTATACTCATTGTCTGTTAGGTGGACTTGATGAAAATGGTAATTTATTATTTATTTATATAACTTTTACATTATATGTAATTATTTACATATATAATCACACATATATCTTTTATATATCTATATCATATACAATAGGCAAAGGTATTGTATACAGTTACGATTCCATAGGATCTTTTCATGCGGAACCATGTTGTGCGGTTGGATCCGGAAGTCCTCTTATGCAATCATTCTTAGACAATCAAGTAAGATTTATACATTACATATATATATATATTGACTGGATGTTTATATATAATTAATATATCAAATAATAATAATTAATCTCTTTAAATTATAATAATAATAAATAGATAGATTTTCATGCTCAAAAAGAGAACAAGCAACCAATTCCATTGGAAAAAGCGATCAACATTGTAAAAGATTCTTTTACTGGAGTCGCGGAAAGAGATATTTATACTGGTGACGGTTTAGATATTTTTATCATCAAACGCGATGGAATTACTCTAGAACATTATCCATTAAGAAAAGATTAAAAAAAAATTATAATTATAATATATCATATTTAAAATTATTTAAGCATGATACAGGAGAAAGAAAGAAGATGAAGAAATTGGATATTTGATTTTTTATGGTTATCTATCCTATATATATATGTATTTATATGTATTTATATGTATTTATATGTATATATATGGATAGATAGATTTATTATTACTTTCTGAATTATATTTTTGTTAATAATAAAAGTATCATTATTATTATTATTGCTATTGTTGTTAAATTAAATTATGTTATTTGATTATTTGATTATTTGATTATTTGATTACTCGATTATATTATAATTATTATTATTATTATTATTATTATTATTATTATTATTATATCGTTTCTGAGTTCTGAGTGAGGACAAGAGAATCTTCAAAGAAAATGACTACAAATGATATACTAAGAAGTTGAATCGCATCATTTAATGTGTCTATGAGAAATAATTTTTCTGACATGTTATAAGAAATGTATCGGTTAAATGAAAAGGCAGCAGACACTTCATTTGAAAAAAATAAAAAAAAGTGAAATTAATTAATTTAATATTAATAAATATTAATAAATGTATAAATCATAATAAATAAATAATTAATTAATTAAATAATTAAATAATTACCAAGCCATAAAAACAAACACACAATTAATATTGATTCTAAACTTTGAATTTGATTTTCGACCAAGACATTTGTCAATACGAAAGTTAAAATTACCGTACTTATAAGACTTGCCTTTTATAATATAAAGTTGTATTAAATTATGTTATATGTAAGTAATGTTATATATATGCGTATTAAATATATTATATATATGCGTGTTAATATATTTTATATATGCGTGTTAAATATATTGTATATATGCGTGTTAAATATTATATTTATAATAATAAAATGTTGTGAATTTACCGCTGCACCAGTTTGAGGTACATCATAGGCCAACATTTCTCTTTCCTCAGGAGTAAACTGAACTTCTTGACGTAATTCCATTTGTAATCTACCAAATACATTATAAGCGTAATAAATTGTCGTGATAACTGATTATCGTTGAATTGAGATAATTGAGATAATTGTGATAATTGTGATTAAGAATGATAAATCGAGATTAAATGAGAACAATGTGGGAATTTTAAAAGTATGTAAAAATTGTTGAAAGAATATTTATAAAAAAAAAAAAAGAAAAGTACCTTGAGAAACTAAAATTGACACGAAGAATGTTGCGATATTTGGAATATGTAAAACTATATTATCTGTAATATACATTTTGATTGTTTTTTATTTTTATTGTTATTTTTAAATATTTTAAAGAACAAAAACTCAAATAACAAGTAAATTTTAGCGGATCGGATTTATACAAAAGAAAAAGAACGTTTAACCTAAATTAGAGGTTTTTTTTAAAAAAATAATTTTATCGAACATGTGAATATGTTACTATATATAGTAATAAATAATCTATGTAATATAATATAATTGGAAATAGATCTAAGAATATCAATATATATATATATAATTAGAATTTAAATGACCAATTATTTTCATTATTTAAATTTTCAAGTTTTGAATCTTGTAAACTATCTCGCAAACAAAATACAAATGGTGATACAACTAGCGAATCCCTGGAAAAATGACTAAGGAATTCAACACTCTGAAAAAAACTATCGAATAATTGTTAATTGATGTTCCTAAGACTAGTGAAATGCAAATACAAGTAATTTTTGAAAATTCCGAGAATCTAAAATAAAGATGATCAACAATATTTATGGAACGCGAAATCAATACATTATATGGGCTGATTTTTTTGTTCCATATGTTTAAACAAGATGCTTACTTGTATATGTGGTCATATGATAAAGAACACAATTCCACAAAATCATTTAAGGCTAAACATATATAAAATAGGCGTACTTAAAATGATAAATCTCATGTGATCGCAGAGCCATATATTTTTTTTTAAATCAGTCCATTTTCTGGAGGATAGATAAATGTACTCATTGATATTCTTTATTCGCTTGCTTATAGGTTTGTCCTTTTCCTTGTCTAGTGATAGTATTTTCCCATGGTAAATACTGTACAGAAAGAATATGACTTGTTTGTGTGATTTTATTTTATTATTTTTTTTCCCAAAATATATTGAAAAATCCAATGAGCTATAGATCGTTTCTGTTAACAAATTTAATTTTTTCTTTATTCTAGAAATAAAGTAATTGGCTAATTTTTTAAATTTAAGTTCTAATGCACAAGAACCTTGATTAAAGTTTAAAACAAAGTTTTAATAGATGATAATTAATACGCGACACGCGTCATGATAATCACGTGAGGGATAAAATTTTCAAAAGTATCTGAAGAATAATTTAACAATAATGAATAATCACTACTTTAATCATTTGATGTATAGAGAGGAGGCAAACTAAGTCAAATGATATAATGATATAAAAAAAGGTTATTTAGAATTTTTACATTATTTCTTTCTTGTCCAAAAAAAAAAAAATTTATCAACACGTTTGATCTATATTATTTTTTTTTTCTTATTTTCTAAAATATTTGATATATCGAAATATTTATGTTATTATTATCATTATAATTCTTCTTAATTCTTCAATTCATAATTCTTCGTAATTCATAATTCTTCACAATCATAATTCTTTGTAATTCTTCACGACACTTTATAACGTGAAAATCAAATGCCGAATTCGAAATCTACTAGTTTAAACTTAATATTAATAATAATATCTTTTTTACAAGTGTTTTTTATTTGGATTGTCCTCGGTAGTGATGGAATGATTAAGGTAGTTTTATTAGGAAGTGGTATTGTGATAATTTCTGGAATATTTTATTACTTTATGGTAAGAAATATTAATAATGATAACGATAATGATAACGATAATGATAATAATAATACGGTAATAATAATCATCTTAATATTTATAATATTTTTGAATGAACGAAAATTTTTATTTACTTGTTATTTAGTAAATCGAGAGACAAATATATATTACAAATATATATATATATATATATATATTAAACATTATATTAACGCACGTTTATATCAAATACGTTATTAATTTAATAATTTATTTATTTGTCATTTTATTTGAAGGATAGAAAAGAGACGAAAATAAAAATATGGACAATTTAAATGAAAATAGTGATAATTAAAAAAACAATTAAATTGAACAAATTATAATTTACTAATGTTGAGTTGGTTCTTCTCTTTCTCTTCTAAAAGAAAGTAAATTATCTCCGAATTTTTATTTTTGTAATTTATCAAAATTTTTTCTTCTGAATCTTCTATATTTTAATAGCATTTTTTTTTATCGTTACATTTGTAAATATAAATAGAAATACCGCAAGAAATTTTGAACGAACGCATTTATAATAAATACAAATTGCAGAATATTTATAATTTAATTTTAAATTTGTAAAAAGAAAAACAAGATTTTCGCTTTATACAAGTTTTTTTTATATCACAAAAATTATTTTTATTTTAAATTGACTTGTAAATAAAATACAAAAGGAAAAAGTCAAAATACAGAAATATATACTTAGAAAAAATTTTGTAAAACGAAAATACATCAAAAAATTGATAATTCAAAAAAACTTTTTTTTTTGGAATTTTTTTTTTTTTTTAAGGAAGGATCTTAAAATACATAAAAAAAAATAATTAAAATTAAAAAAAATCATATGTAATTATTGTATAGTTTTTCTTCAACCGCGTTAGTATTGGTGGCTTTGTTAATTTCTTCTACTACTACTTTTTCTTCTACTACCACTTTTTCTTCTACAACCACTTTTTCTTCTTCTTCTACTACTACTTTTTCTTCGTCTTCTACTGCTATTTTTTCTTTTTCTTCTATTACTACTTTTTCTTTTATTTCTTCTTTTTCTACTACTGCTTTTTCATTACTTTTATCATTCTTATCATTGATATCTTCATAATCATCCTTATTAACCATTACAAATGATTTTCTATCACCAAGAAACGCTTTCTCAACTATTTTAACCAATTTATCCGTCCAATGCTCTTCAGCAGGTGGTGGTGGTTGTATAACTTGTTGTATAATGGTTTGGGTTACTATCCTTTCTACGACATGCGTAGGGCCGTTCGTAGGGCCGTTATTCACAACTTGCGTAATATTATTCACAACCTGCGTAGTGTTGTTATTCACAACATTATTCACATTATTCACATTGTTCACATTATTCACATTGTTCACATTTGTTACATTTGTATTGGTCTCGCTTTTAACCACATTGTAATTGTTGACTGT